GCGCCATCTCAGCTCACTGCAACCTCCGCCTCCTGGGTTCAGCCGATTCTCCTGCCTCAGCCTCCCGAGTATCTGGGATTACAGGTGTGCACCACCACACGTGGCTAATTTTTGTATTTTTAATAGAGACGGGGTTTCGTCATGTTGGCCGGGCTGGTCTCAAACTCCTGACATCAGGTGATCTGCCTGCCTTGGCCTCCCAAAGTGCTGGGATTACAGGCGTGAGCCACCACACCTGGCCATGAACTGTTTTTAAAAACCGAATGTTCCCTGTTTTTGTAAGAGGTCAGCAAGAAGGAGGGGAGGCTCTATGTTCAGCTTGGGGTCCAGCCTCATGTGACCTGAGGCTGTGGGTTCCATCCGTGGGTGCTGGCTCAGCCCTTCTGAGCAGGAGATGATGCAGGAGAGGACGGAGGAGGTGGCTGGAGCTCTAGGGCAGGGCCCAGGGGCAGGGAGCCTGGCGTACCTGGGAAAATGGGAGACAATCCGAAGCCGGGTCTCGCTGCCACTCCTGCAGGAGAGATTTTGGGTTGGTAGGTTAGTAGGGGTGGGAACTGGCTCTAGCCTTATCACTCTCTGCCTGCACTGGCTTACCCAAGACCCTCTGTCTGGGATCATCTCCTCTCCATCCCCCTACTATATAATTTTTTATATTTTATTTTATTATTTTTTTTTGAGACAGGGTCTTGCTCTGTCGCCCAGGCTGGAGTGCAGTGGTGCGATCTTGGCTCACTGTAAGCTCTGCTTCCCAGGCTCCAGTGATTCTCCTGCCTCAGCCTCCCAAGTAGCTGGGATTACAGGTGCCCACCACGTCTGGCTAATTTTTGCTTTTTTTTTTTTTTTAGTAGAGACTGGGTTTCACCATGTTGACCAGACTGGTCTTGAACTCCTGACCTCAAGTGATCCGCCCACCTAGGCTTCGCAAAGTGCTGGGATTACAGGCGTGAGCCACTGCGCCCAGCCAATCTCCCCTATTATAGCCAGAGCAGCTTTCTCAACACAACATGTCCCCACCTAGCAACCAGGTGTGGCACCCCGTGGCCTCAACCCTGAGCTCAGCCTGGCACTGTCCCCAACCTTACAGCTTGCCCCTTTGCCCAGTACATCTGTGGTCCTAGAGTACTCTCTCCAGTCCCAGTCTCCTGTCCTCGTGTGGACATGGGCTCCGGGAGTCCCCACTGCTAGACAGACAGCCCTCTCTAGATCTGGACAGAGCTGAGGACTACATAGCAGAGCTGGCCACCCCTACCTCCAAGTGGGAACTGCCCGGCACCCCCTAGGACACCTCCAAGGCCAGCAACACCTGAGAAGAGGCAGGTGGGGTCAGGACAAGCACCCCCATCTGGAAAAGGCCCTGATATCCCTGCTGGGTTCTGGGGTAAGGGATGTCCCAGACAAGATCTTCAGGGGTAGGGGGAGCCAGAGGGAGGCCTGAGCTGGGCTGGGGGAGGGTGGTGATGGGCATAGCAGGGGGT